TTATGCCAATGTGTATACATAAGTCATGCCCCGAATGTCTCGAAGGATTAATTTTTAATAATAATTTAATATCTCATCGTTTGAAATTTTTACCAGAATTTAACTAAAAAATTAAAAATCAGTCAGTAACCACCGGTTAGGTTGATTATCCTTCCAGTAGCTAAAATTGGCATATACGTTTTATTCAAGTTATGATTAGCTAATCATGGGATAGTTTGATAATTGTGAAAATTCGAGGAAATATAGTTCACAAAAATTTCATTGCAAATATACAAAATCTGCATATCGAAAGGTGAAAATAAGCCCGATCACCGAAGCATGTTAAATAATCGTTAACTCATCGAATCGCTTGTAATGAAAAATTGTATGCCGTAGTCAGTTTAAACATCGGTTGATTCTCGTATAAAAATATGTAATTCTATTAAAATTCAAGATACAGGGTACCTAGCCCCATTGAACGAAGTACAAAGGTGTCAAATCGCAAGATATCGGCCTAAGTGTGTCAAGTGCCACTGCCCTGTTGAAACCACATATTTTCCAGGTCCAATTACCCCCGGATCACTCCACCAGCCCAGAACCCGACATCAAATAGCGACTCGTTGTGGGTGCATAGTTTTTTCTTGAATGACATGCCATGGCAGTTTTGCTTGTTAAAGTATTCGTTAAGGTGAAACAGTGCCTCATCGCTCATGACTAAGATTTCAATACCAATTGTCTGAAAAAATAAAAAATAAATAATATAATTATAAGATTGTCCGAGCTTTGCTCGGAATGCCTACACTTTTTAAAGTTTTCGTTTGGGTATCAAATATTGGTCGATTCCATAGTTTATATTTTTATGTAACGCATACCTTAAATGGAATTTGTTATTTAACATTAAGCCTATCCAATACCACTTTCCATACAAATTATATCGATAAACAAACTATTATCAACGTGGTAATATTTTAGCTTTAAAATACCTCAGTATTCAGTGAAACAAAATAAAACCCCTTGATGTGAACAAAAATACTTTACAACTTTTTGGAAAGTATGTACATACAGTGACTCTAACAAGTGGCCACGTGCTCATTTTTTTTTTAAATACTCATAATGTTTTTCGAGTAAAATTTTTTTGTTATTTTCGTATCAAAATATTGTCCCAGCATTAACCAAAACAATATAAAACACAGTTTCACACTTTATAAAAAATTTAACAAATTTTTATAAAAATTTCAACTTTTAAATTGAGAACCTCTAGAACATTTTTTGGCATGCAATTTAATAGCCCACACAATTTTAGTCTGACGAAGTGTAAGTTTCAAACGGCTAAAAAATCCCGTTGATTCTTGAGATTTTTCTTTTTTTGAGTACGGATTTTTACGCTTTTTTCTTATGAAATACAATGCGGGCGACCGTTCGCAACAAAATTAAAAAAAGAAATGAACGCCAGTCTGTAAAAAAAAATTCTTTAAATCAACGCAATTTTTGTTCTAATGGCTCAGTTTAGAAAATTGAAAATTTAATGAAATTTGTTGAATTTTGTGTTAAGTTTAAAACTGTGGTTTTGGTTAAAGCTTCCAGGGTATTTCTGGAAAAAAATATTACAAACAAAAATTTTTCTCGAAATGCATTACGAGTATTTAATAAAATCAACACGTTGTCATTTGTTTGAGTCATTGTACATAGTATTAGTAGAAACAGAAAGTGTGGATTATGAAGCGACTGCTTGGATGACATTGCTCTGAAGTTCCATGAGCTACTCAGGCAATTCCACGTCTCATACAAAAATTAATAATAATAATAATAGATTGGCGCTTACACATATGTTAGTGTTTGGCCGAGCTTCTCCTCCGATTTGTGGCGTGCGCCTTGATGTTGTCACACAAAGCGGAGGGACCTACAGTTTTACGCCGACTCCGAACGGTATTTTTATGAGAAGCTGTTTTTCGTAGCAGAAATACACTCGGAGGTTTGCCATTGCCTGTCGAGGGGTGACCGCAAATAAGTAAAAACTGTTTTCTTCATTTTTTTGCAATATTGCTTTGACCAGGGCTTGAACCCAGGCCCTGCGGAGGGGAAGCGCGCACTGCTTACCATTACACCACTGCGGCCGGCTTGCAAAAATTAAGTCGCATATTAACTTTAGCGGCCCATTTTGATAGAAATCGTGGATATGCGTATCACCGGCTTTGGAGGAGGCGTTGTAAGAAAGTGACTGAAGCTTTCTTCCCCAAAAAATTCAAGAAAAAAAAATTATGATACATCCCACTTCATCCGCCAGCGCTTACATAACAAAAAACGTAAATGATCCTCCAAGTGAAAATCGAAGCTGGAGCCAAAGCTGCCAAAAATGAATCTAAGAAATGCCACAAAAAGGAAAATACATATGTTCATACATACATATGTATGTATATGTACATATTTATTTGTTATGTAAAAAAAAAAATAAAAATATGTGAGCGAAAAAAGGCAAACTCGAAGAAAAATGAAATAAATGGTCAGATGAAATAAACAGTCCCATAAAGAATAATCATTCAGAATGTGCTGCTGAATTATGCATGAAGCCAGCAAGGGGCGATGAAAGTGGCATCAAGCAGCGGGCAGCGGTAATGCATAAGTAGCATGTTGGTCAATTGTATCACACCGAGCTCGAGACAGTCGTCCTCAAATTGCCAGTTGGAAGACAATAAGGCCGAACTTTGTTTTGGTAGCAAGGGTGTAGCTGAAGACAGTTTAGAGCTAGCTTTTCCACTAGAAAGCAACATTTTCCTTTTTGATGATTTTAATACATATAAGCATGCATACATATGTACGTACATACATACATACACAAGTATGTAAATGCAACAAAACTTTCTGAATATTTTTTTTCTCACAATACCCTGCAGGAAAAGCTTGTCTAGTGAGGTAGTGTTAACTAAAGTCTTTCTAAGCATGCAGTAGCATTTGCAAGACTAAATTCGACCGTTTATGTGTACTTTGTGACGTAAAAAAAGTACTCTTCTAGTAAGCCAAGAAAATGTTAGGGCAGCAAAAAATTTAAGACATTAACGCTAAAATTATAAAAATTTACTCCTTTAAGGGCAGCGGGAAAAAGGCCCTCTAACCTTCTTTTTTTAATGAAGAGCAGAGCACGACACCAGGTTTGGCTGGGTTAGCGGACAGCCAGTCTCATCGAACCAAGTGTCAATCACACTCAGTGATATTTGGACTTCCCTGCTCACAACTGCCCAAAAGGGCCTGTAATTAGGTCTATGCAGCCTGGGGGTAGATAACTTTGACCAATTACTAAACACCAACGCAAGGGAGAAAGCACACCGTCCTAAGAACAGCCCCGATGAACTCGTAACGTAATATATTGACGTCCTTCTGCCTAAATCGTAACGAACCTCTGCGCAAGCATTGAGCGAATCCAATTTGCCGGCGCAGAATCGACTCCATGACTTAGAGCCGAGTTGCACATGTTGTCGAAGGTGGCATTATCAAAAGCACTCTCAACGTCTACAAAAATGCCCAAGACGAATTATTTCTTAGTGACGGCGTTGCTAAGTCTGGCAAACAGATTTTGTAGAGCCGTCTAAGAGTATTCCCCGCCTGATAGGCATGTTTATGCAAGGACAGAGCATGGGATGAAAACTACATCTTTCAGAGCGGTGGCGACGATATTCAGACAATATTCCAGTAGAGCTCAAAGTGTTTTATTAAGTCCGTTCTTCTTTGAAAATGTGCAATTCTGAAATCCCAAGTTACAGGTCGTTGGCTTTCTAATTAAATAGTAAAGGGTCCCATTAGGTGAGTATATTTAAGCCATTCACTGTTCAAGAGTTATCATAATTTTCTGACTGACCAAACCAGACAGTAACGCAGTATGTGTTCTGACTGCAAAATCCTGCATTCCGCTTTTGTAAATCAACCAACCCGCGAGGAGCCTGTCGTCAGTTCTATTTCAGTGACTAAAATCTTTTCTAGCGAAAGGCTATTCAGATAGCGTAACCTGTTTAGTTTCCCCTACCATTCCCCTTATTACACTTATTGCGTTCTAAGTCTACCTACTCCTTTCCTAAAATGATTCCGGTTTACGGGCACCTTCAGTGTTACCTTGTTCCGCGGTGCCAAGAGCTAACACTACTTAACAAGATTGGAGCTGATTTTCTGATTGGAGAGGGCTTTTATGACCGCGTGGCTGTCGGTAAAGTTAACTAAAATTTTTAAAGTTTATTCTGGAACAGGTTTAGATCATTACCACCTCTTTTCGAAGACCTTTGGTTATGTCTTCTAATCTCAGGGCCGGTTGTTCAATGTATGATTAACACAGATCGGCATGATGTCGAAAACGTCGATAAAGATGTTTAACTGGGCGGAAGTGATAACCAGACATTGGACAACCGGCCCTTAACACGTATGTGTACCAATGTATTTGCATACCTTGGATTCAATTTTCCTAGGCTCCTGGCAAGGATTTTTTAACTGGAATCAACCGCAAATGCATTTTTCTAACCACAAGATTTTTCCCACCTTATGGTCTGATTATGCATACTTCACATAAACTTCAAACTGTAATTTCGTATGTACTTTGTATGTATTTTGTATGTATTCCATTACCCAGAAATTAGCAGAACTTTTAAAAACTTAGCGACCTGAGTTTAAATTTTGCTGCACATTTTCTAAAGTTACATTTTTATTGCCCTGGTACAAATAGTTGTGCGAAGTTTTGCGAAGTATGCATAATCAGACCTTTAGGTATGCATAATCATTTTTGTAGTACTCATTGAAAAAGAAAATATTTGCAATAACAATACGGTGAGTAATTTTATTTCGTCTTTCTTTCAGATTGACCCGTTGAATTGATTCAAACGCTTACAAAAGTAGTACGCAGTGCTTCAAGTGGTGTCTGATGATCACGTCCGAGGCATTAGTCAACCGTTGATGGCCCTAAAAGCTAAAGCATTAACTGCAGTTGATCCGGATTAAGTCCGAGTTAGTCCGGATCAACGCTGCCGTCTGTTTAATCTTTACGAACTAGCAGATAAAATGACAGCTGCTACTTGATACTCGTAAATGATTAGTATCACTTACTTACTCTTTGAATGTACGCAGTTTCGAGCAGCAAGAGGAGGGATTCAAGAAACTGGAGAAACCGTTTCACTGGGGGCATTCCTGGAAGACATACGGCGGGACGAATAACTTAAATTCCAGGTAGGTATGAAGTTGATACGAACGTTGAAGTAGGTCTCGTTAGCAAGAAACTATTTTTTTCAGAATAGAAAGAGCTTTGATGACAGCGAGCGGACTGAACTGGTGGGATATCTTATAGAAACTAAATTTTGTATAATGCCGCTGCTGGTGTATGGCGCAGAAGCATGGACACTGAAAACATCTGATAAGGCGGCTCTTGCATTTTGCGCGTTGACGACACCGAATACCGCAGACTATGGAACGATGAGATGTATGAGATTGACAACGACATGAACAGCGAATTAAAATACAGTGACTCCGCTGGCTTTGTCATGTCGTTCCGATGGACACCGACTCTCCAGTCCTGAATGTACTCAACTCGAAACCCGCTGCTGGAAGCAGAGGAATAGGGAGGCCCCCACTGAGATGGAAAGACTAAGTAGAGAAGGGCTTCACTTAGCATTTTCAAATGCCATCAGTTGGCACAGAAAAGAAACGAATGGCGTGCTTGTCGAACTCAGCCAGAATCGCTTATGCGGTTGCAGTGCCTTGCAAGAAGAAGACATGCTAGGGCTGGAAGCTCTATCCGGGTTTTTTGACTATGGGTATATTCGAACAATAGAATACCCGGATATCCCAATACTTCTAATTGTGTGTTTATATTCGGTTATTCGGATAGTGGCCGAATACTCTAATCTACAAAGTAACAACAAAAAACAATTGTTTAGGTATTAACGAAGTGTTCTATTACTTATTATGACAAATGCACTAAATTTGAGAAAAACTACGCGAATCCGTTTAAATGTTTACTAAGTGAACGGCTATTGCCCGGACATTCGGATAACCGTTTAAATGCTGTTTAGAATAACTAGATATTCGGGTTACTAAATGAACGGATATTTACCGCACATTCGGATAACAAATTGAATAAACATTGACCGGATTTTATACGTACACTCGAATATCTAAGCGGATATCTAGATATCAGAATTGCCCTAATGTATACTAGGGTGTTCGATTATTCTACTTTTGTCCAGAAATGGTTTTCGAGTTATTCGAAAAATCGCAATTTGAAAAAACTGGTTCCCTATTTTGAAATTAAGAAAAAACTGAATAAACCGGTTTAATTTTATATAGTTTTCATACAGTGAAAATGCTTATGTTCGGTCGACGGGGAGATCGACTAGCCAAAACATTTACAATTTACGGTTGAAGTGCCATTTACAAGGGTCGATTTTGGTTGAACGACAAAAATCTACCCATGTAAAGGAAGGTTTATGGGAAAAAGCAAGAATTTTATACAAACTTAAAGCCACAGGAGTGATTTCAGAATGTAGAGATTTCACTACAGGGATATTACACACATCCGCAGTATTCCACCTAGACCCGCACCATAACATCAAAGCTCAAACTTTCCTCATTGTGAGATACCTATTTTGTGGCATTTTGGAGGGGGTTTTTGGGATCATTATCTTCGTAAGTGTATTTTTTCGTAATGACGCTGTGGTCGCAATTTCTTACAACATATGCGTGGAGGGCAACAAAATAAACACTTGTGTACATACATACATACTTAGGTATGTATATGTTGGTTTGTACGAAATTTCTACCTCCGTGCGCACCATTCACAGCAATTTTATGATGTTCGAACACAGATAACCACCAGTCAAAATATTATCTGCCTCAAGCACATTACAGCGCTTATTTCTGCCTTACCCCACACTTTCGCGAAGCCCTTGCTGAAACTCGGTTCTAATGTGTAGTAAATTCGTTTTTTTTTTTTTAACAACGCACACGCATAAATTTCAGGCTCTGAAAATGAGAAACCAGAAGCTTTTTGGCAAATGAAATTCAAGTGCCGCCGCATTGGTTAGAAGGGGGAAACCAATGAGCTGACCTCGGTCAGAGACAACTTTTTTGTTAAGTACTGGGTATGGAGTCCGCCTGTCTTCGTAGTCATTTTCATTTCAACACGGAAAATTCATATTATTAATGAGCTATGTATGTAGTTGCAAACGCGAAGAAGGAGTGGTGCGTTTATCTTATGAATGGTCTAAGTAAATGATTTTTCAGCAGATATGTACCTATACAGATAGAACTATATCTACTACTTACATATATTTATTGCATTTATTTTATTTGAATTTATTGCTTTATTTTGCAATACCTTGTTATATGAGGAGATTGGACGGTACATACTTACATATAGATATTATTGCTGGCGTCTGATAAGCACTTACGATTATTGTCTTCAATGTAGATTTTGTTTTTCTACCTGTTACTTCCCTATGCAACTCCCAGGTAGATATTTTTTTACAAAAAAAAATTTCCACGTTGTACACTACCACTCGGAAGGGTCCAGATTCGAATCCAGCTTTGACAAACTTAAAAATATAAAAGATTTTAATAGCCTCTCGGCAAACTTCCAAGTGGAATTTTTACAAAAAATGCTTCTCAAAAAGACCACCCGCAGTGCGATAATTGGATCTTCAATCTAATGGGAAACTAAAGGTTTGTGCTTTTTTCAAAATTCTAGTTTTTTTTTAAATTCAATAAAGCACGCCAGTCGTTGCTCTGAGGCCAATTGGTAATATCAAGTCTAAGTAATATGTCTACACGAGTGTCATAGTAAAGCTTATTTAGTTCATCATTTCTTTTTCTGCCATTGCGCAAAGGCCCCTCTAGTTCCCACAGAATCTTTCTCCCAAATACTCCAAAAGCCGCCTAATGATATGTTTGGCTTTTACGCCATGCACCAGCACGACATGATGGGTGACTTAAAGAGTGTGATTTTTGAACGACGTGGGAAGACTTTACTTTTCAGTTGCCTACTAAGTCCAAAGTAGCACTTGTTGGACTTGAAATAAAGGAACAAGTGCTCTGACTATTTGGCTGATAACAGGGTCAGTGTGTAGATTTAGCTTTTTTATTCGAGTTAAGCAGGAAACATCCTGTTTAGCTTCTAGCTTTTTTCTTAGATTGCTCAAAATATTAGCTGCAAATTTATTAATGTTCAATGTGATTTTTAGTTTCAGGTATAGAATGAAAAACAACGACAAATGTCACGATATTTAACTTCGGCGGAGAAAGGCTTGGACTTTATCCGATATCGGCGTGGGAAGACTGGTTTTTGAGCTCTTTCGACTCTCACATCGCCTTTAGGAATAGGCTAACGGAAAGCAGTAGTTTCAGGACGAAACCGGTGAATTTCTACATGGATGGGTCGAAGCTTGACGAAAGTATCGGTGAATGGTTCTTTAATGCAGGCCGCTGGCATCAGGCAGAGCTAGCATTAATGAAGCGGACGAATGTCTGTTAAATTGCTCGAATTTGGGGAGGGAATTTTCACCGGTCAGTCTCATTTAGGTACCAGGCCATATTGATATTGCAGGAGATCGTTGGCCAGGAAAGGTATGTTCGAGGTGTACTCCGTTATGAAGTTATAATAACGACCAAAAATATTTGATTTGTTAGTCTAGCCGTAACTGTAGTAAATATTTGATATCGATATTTTGCTTTTTTCCATTTATCCTTTTCGATGAAAATGTTCTGGCAACCGTCTATATACTTAAATATTCTGCGTGTGGGTTGATCCATGCACCCTATTAATTCCTCGCTGCCATACGTGAATAGTGTAGTTGGCAGGCTGACAACTTAGCAGCTTTGTTATTTTTTAGCCGCGAAATTGCTATTCGTAACTAATTTTCAGTGCAAGAGATGTCAGGGATAGTCAAGAATTACGACACAAAATATGTTTCTAGTTTAGCCAAGCGAAGGTTCGACAATCTAATAAAAATCGTTGAGGTGATTCCACCATATCATCCTCCTGTAAGCTGCTACAGGAGGTATCTGGAAAGATTCTTAATATTTCCGCGTGGTTTCCAATCGCACAGTGATCTGTTAGAACCCCAACCAACAGAAAAATCTGAGGTCTGGAAAGCGCACAGAGTTCCTTTGATCGCCCTTGAAGCTCAGTTCATAGGTGTACTCAGCTGCTCCCTGTCTGCTGATAACGTTTCAAGGATGCCTTGCCTTGCTAAGTCGCCAGTCCATTGCTTTTTTATAGCAGCTATTTCCGCCCGAAAGACGCTGCAGAAGTCTGGAAGCCTGAACTTAGTTCTAATGGGAAGCTGGCGGCAGAAGAACCCTCCTTTTGATCCATCCCTGTAAAGTTCACTGCTCCTTTCCCCAAGTCACGCCGCCCGACCCAGTCAGTTAGAGAAGAAGCTAGTAGGAGCGATTTCAGCGGCGAGGAAATCTGTCTACTCAGAAATTAAATTGAAGCCCTCCAGAATTCCAGAGTATCTCTCTACAATATCTACAGGCCTTTGTTCAGCATGTCGTCAAGCGCCCCACTTTGTATTAACGATTGAGGCATTTCGTTGGATGAGTTCTTATCGCTTAGCTAGTGTAGCCTTTTCTAGTTGAATACACCAGAGACTATATCTTACCAACAGCTCCCCTGCGGCAGTATAAAGCAATTGACGCCTTTCATGTCCTTTTCTCAATATCTGGCCTTCACGTCAGCTCCCTTTCCAAAATCACTCCTAGGTACTTGAACCTGTCCGAGAAACCTCCGGTAAAAGCACGAAGCACATCTGTGATCTCATACCTGCTGGTAAACATGACATGTTCAGTCTTGCTGTAGTTGACGGCCGGCCTGCAAGTTCAGGTAACCTTGAGACAGACCAATCTTCGCCTAACTGTAAGGCCGATCACCCGACAGCCAATTTTCTGCAGCTCCTCCAAAAGGCCGATTAAGACCCCGATCCGGTGCAGGGATGAAAGGACATTACCTTGTGCGGTGTCCCTATTTGATCTTCGCTGTGTGTAGGCGATCGCTGATAGAACCACGACAGATATGTCGCAGAGTAAACTATAAATGGTCTGTATTAGGTTGGTTTCGACCGAGAGCTTATTTAGAGATTTAACTATTTCCTCAGGAACGACATAGTTCAAGGCACCCTCGATGCCGGGGAAGGCTGGTACTGCAAAATCTTAACGGGTGAAAGCTTCCGGTATACACTTTGCTAATGACCATCCTTTTCAGTAAGCATATTGATCGCTCGAAATACGGTCACGAGATACCTATCGCGTTTTTTTATATGCAAGTCAATTAGTCACTCCAAATTCTTTGCAAAAAGGAAGTAGGTATCTACTTAGCCAAAAACAGTTTGTCTACATAAATAAAAATAATTTTTGCATCTTTATTGTTCAGCTTTGTTGATGTTTAGAAGAGATTTTATTTAATAAGCCTGAAATCAACAAACTTAAATAAACCAAAATGGCGCTGGTCGCAGTATTTTCCGACATTAATTACCAATGGAACATCTGCCGTATAAACATACAAAAATATTTACATGTTTGCATACATACATACATACATACATACATACATATGTACATATTTACTTCTATACATTTCCTCACTTTTTCCACAGCAAATTAAATATTCTAGAAACCAATACAGGCGTATCAAATCAATGCATCGTCGAAAAACAAACAGCTGGAACGCGTCAGCGAATTCAATTAACAAACCAAAATGAAGAATGCCCGCTGAAGACATAGCAAAGACCATTCGTTATGATTTCAACGACTTTTCCATAAGTAAATACTTAATTTCATTTTGTTTCTCAGTTGGATGAAAGGCGGAAAAGGCGGTGAAGGTAATCAGCGATGGCGATTGTGATTTAGAAAGGTGGGAGGGACCGCTGCGGTGCGTAAGGTAGGTAAATTTTTGGGAAGATTTGTAGCAAATTTGTTTGCTTGAAACTTTTACTTTTCTTCTTTGGCTTTAGCTTAGGATTTTGTTTTTATTTTCAATTAAATCGGCTTTGAAGCACAACATTTTGTCCATGCCTTAAGAATTTGTTTTGCGTGGCGCCAGCAAAGATACGGCCATTAAAAATCGGACTTTAAATAAGACTTTTTTTTGTAGCCAAATTCATTTTTGTGTTTTTAACATGGCAAGTAAAATTTATTTTTTCATTAAAAAAAAAAGTGCTCAGTTGTAAATATTTTTGTAGGTATGTATGCGCGTACATATTCGTCATTTGTCAAAAGTCTAGCTTTTAGTCCTTTTTTGTGTTTGATTGTAACCAGCTCTTCCTCTTCTTTGTAACTCATTTATTTTGGCTTGCCATTTGTGTTTTAGGCGGAACCTAAGATATTAAAATTGTCCCATGCTTTGCTTCTTCTCTTTTATTTTTTTGTTTTTTTGAGACAGATTTGCATAATGAACTTGAAAAAGAGAATATTTAATTTTTATATATTAGTTAAAACTTCCGTTGAATTCCTTTGCGCTTATACTCCTCCTCTTAGATTTTTTTCTTTTTACAACGCTTTTTTAATTTCAATTCGTGAACGTGGCTTTAATTGAACTTTTTTGTTTACAATTTTAGTGAACATTTTTAGAAGTAACAAAAAGACAACAGAACTGCATGAAAAAGGCCGGAAATTCGGTGCAGTGAACGGGAGCAAAATATTATAATTAAATAATAATTGAACTTTTAATTCCAAAACTATGATTTAAAAATGATAAGCGTAGTAGTATGCGCTCAAAAATATGTGCATGGGTTCTAGCTATGTAGAGATGCATACATATGAATATGTATTTTATTTATATAAGTTGTGATTGGCCGATGCATTAAAAAAGGTTTAACTATGAAATTCCTATATTATGTATTTCGTTTATTTACAACTATATCTATATTCACATGCATTTGTATGGAATTTATTTAAGTTAAAGGCATATTTAGTAGATGTATATTAGGCATATGACTTCGTTTTTTAATTAAATATGCCTATAAAGAGTGCATGAAAAAAACCACTTTTTTTTTAATATTCGAAAAAATGTTTACTGAAAAAAGGCATATATACAGTAGGGCGCAAAAATGAATAAATGGTAATTTTTTTTTTAATTTTCAAGGTTATTAAAGCAAAATTTTTTTGTTTTGTTATTTTGTTATAAAAATATGGTTCGTGATTTAACCAAAACTATATATTTAAATCAAACTATAGAACTTCAACAACTTTCAACAAATTTTCATAAAAATTTAGAACTTTTCAAGCTGAATTTTAAAAATTTTGCGTGCGCAGTTTTATACCCTGTAAACTTTTAAGCCGCTGATTTTTTATATTTTTTTTTTGCTGACGGCTTTTGTGGATTTTTTCATATAGATAACACGTGCTATTTATAAAAATTGGCATTAATTTTTTTTCTTCGCCAAAGTCTTGGGCAATTTCTACCATACAAAATTCAAGGTTATATGGAAAACATCGCAGAAAGGTGTCGGCAAATGAAAAATTATTTAAAATCAGCTCGATTTTTAGCCGCTTAGAACTTAAACTCTGTTATACAAAAATTCAACCGACTAAAAAAATTGCAAACACAAAAATTTTATATAAATTCAGATTAAAAAGTTCTTAGTCAACATTTTTTTTATTTTTTAAGCTCTCTATAAAGCTTGAAAGTTTGATATGTATATGGTTTACGTTAAAGCATGGCCCAAATTTTAATAAAAATATAACAAAAAAAAATATTTGTTAAAAAAAGGTGAAAACAAAAATCGCCGTATACTCATTTTTGCTTACCACTGTGTGTGCATATAACACATATGTATTTACATATCACCGATGCATTTGCAAAACCACCCATCGATTAGTTGCGAAACCGCCTAAATTCCCGTTGTGGCAAAAATAAGATTTGGTAATCCTGAACTGCAGCTATCGAGATATATGTATAAAAATCGTAAAATCGTTTATTATTAAACCAATAGTTTTGTAAAATAACAGCTAAAGAAAATACCGCATATTAGCCGATGCCTTCAAAGAAAATCCGTTTTTCCGCTCTCCTGTAAAATTTGAGTGCCGTTAAATAAGCAGTTTTGAAATTGGTCGATGGGCGGTTTTTCAAAGCCATCGACGATATATGTAAATACATACATACATATGTATACAGGAAGGAGTTGTTTTCCTCTTCTATAAAATTTGCAAAATGAGACTTAGCAACTTTTCACTCTAAACTAGCGATATGTGTAACTGAAAAGCTTACATGAATATATTTACATATACATACACATCTATGACAGATTCCAAATACACAATATAAATAAATATATCTCTTAAACCTAATTTTTGATCGCAACCATACTTTCGTTGACATGCAATTTTCCACAGATGTGTATGTGTGAGTTTTTTTTCGGTAAATTTTTTTTTCTTTCCTGGAGCTCCCCAAAATTTTGGCAAAAACCTTTTTTTGTTCGTTTTTTATTATTCCTCATCCTCTCAGAGGTATATTTAATAAAAAAAAAAGTCATATTCCTAATGTAATACTTCTATGTATGGATAAGTATTGGTGCAACAACAGCTTGTCAAGTGTCCCACTCGATCCCATTGTGGCGACAATGGCAACACTGCTTCAACACATGCAACATCATAATTAACTTTTTGTCTCCATCATCACTCACTTTTTTACTCTTTTGCTTCACCTGATTCAACTCTTTTCATACAAACATTAAAGTCTGCAAGCGTCCCATTCGTCCGGGGCGTAACCTGCCGCAGTGATTCCAAAATGGTCACTGCACACCTGCATATTTGTTGTCATAATTTTATTTTATTTTTGAATATGCACTTTGTTTTCTTTGTTATTTTAGTTGGCCTTACATTGTTTTTATTTTTTTATGCGGATGGTTGATTTTTGTGATTCCTGCTCGGCATTCATTTGGTTAGCAGACCGTAAAGAACGGCGCAAATAAATTACATACATATGTATGTTTGTATGTATGTACATGCATACATTTGTATGAACATATTCACATTCATTTGTGAATTATACATACATACATACGTATGTATATATATCTACTTAAATAAGTACGGATGTGCATATGTTGAATCATGCATTAATATGTATTTTATATAAATGGATTTATATTTTTTGTATGCATATTAAATGACTGTAAACGCATACCGAGTTTGAAATGTGTCGTCGAAGTGATTACAATTTACACGAAAACTGATGTTTTAATTACTAATAAAAAATGCATTTTATTTTATAATTATGTGCAAATATTTCACTATGTAACGCATTTGTGTTAGTGCAATAAGTACCGCAATCACTACATACATTCGAACATTTTTGATGCCATATATTAACTAGTATTTTTAACTGTATATATAACTAAAGGTCCGTATTCAAAGTTAGACATTTTAAGCTTTTTAGTAAAAAAAAATACTATAAACAGTTAAATCAATGAGTTTAACAGACTTTAGCGTAAAGCCGTGGTTCCTTTTACGCGCATACGTATCTACGCTTAAAATCTGCATGAAGGACTTAAGTTAGGAATCCAAACCAAAGTTTTACGGTATCCAACGCATTTCAAGCATTAAGTGCTTTATTCAGCTATAGGTTTTATATGTCAGCGTGAGCGCTGAAAGCCATAATACCTAAAATGCTTAAGGTCATGCCAGATCAAACTTTGTGGCTTTGCGTGACATTTATTACTTTGCCAGCAGAGCGGAAGACGCAAAAAGTATGCTACAATGAATGCCACGTTAATTTTATTTATATAAATACTTTTAAAAATATCAGCATTGTAATTAAATTTTATGTCTCTGCATGAAAACTCGAAATTGAGAGAAACAAAATAGAAATTTTGCCAGAATATGGTCAACGCGCACAAAAAGGTAAGGAGTTGGCCATATTTTCCCTTCACGCTGCAGCTAAAACTGTCTACATATGGTTCGGCATGGTTCAGGCATTATCATACATTTCATCTTGTCTGTCAAAGCGAACCTGCCACGGGAAGCGAAGCCAGCGTTTTATGTAACATAGCCTTTAGTGTCGAATTCAGACGGCATAGCTTATGCATATAATCTTGCATATGCATATGCGCATAATAATTTTACCCTTACAAACGGCAGTAATGCGAATAAACGAACCGGGTTCGAGTCCCACGGCCAGTAGAATTTTCATTTATTTTGTTTTCATTCTTTTTTTTATAAGTCCTACATTTTTTCGTTGCTTTCAGTTAGTTGTTGTTGACTTTTTAATAAAATTCCACTATAAAAATTTAAATTAATTAAGAGTAAAATAAAAAATGTGATATAAAATAAAGCAAATGAAAGTAAAATAAAGTAAAATTAAATATATAAATCAAATAAAATAAAAAAATAAATAAAATAAATAATAAAAACCAAAAAGTGTTTCGCAATCCCTCCAACCGAGGGTTGAACCTGGCAGCTACAGGCTTGTAGCCCGCAACTCTGACCACTCGACTACAGCGGACGAGAAACTCGCCGGCTTTGTTTGCTTACTTGTACAAAAGACAAAAGTTAGCCGTTTTTACCAGTGTTGTCATCGAAAATTCCCCTGATCCGAGTTAATTCCCAAAAATTTCGTGCATTTGTTCGGTTGCTTATGCGCATTTTAAAGAGGAAAATGCATGAGGCAAAGCAAATAAAGGCTGTTTATGCAAATAATCGATCCCGTTTGTCAACCGTTTAAGTGTCAACTTTTATATGCGCATAAATATGATCTCTCCTAGGATTGTTCTATCAAACAAAAAATAATCAAAAAATATTTATAGGTCACTCAAAGCGGTCAAATTCTTCCATGCATTATATATGAAAAAAAAGTTTTCATAGAAATAGTAGAGTTCTTGAAAATTAATATTTTCCGATCGGAAAACATTATTTATTTTCAGGAACAATTTTTTAAAGGTCCTACAAAAAATGCATAATTGTTAAATAAACAGTTGGGTATTACTATTGGAAGGCTTATGAAGAAAATTTGTTTTTTTTTCTCATACATATACGAGGTCCAATCAGGTTGTTGTTCTTTCATTTAGCCTTTCACGCTATACGCTCGAAAAGACTTTATATGTATGTATGTACATATGTATGCGACGTTTAATAGGCTAATCCATCGGGAATTTACACTTGTGGAGTGGTTAGATTTCGTGTAAATCGGGGACCTGAATTCTAGTCCTCAAGCTTCCACTTGTTCAACCATACTCTATAAATGTAAGAGTAGAGATGCCCCGGAATAGCTCATCTGGCAGGCCCTTTGCAACAGCGAGATTTCAATTCGTCGATACCTCGTCTCCGGGCTGTGCGACACCGATTCCGTCATCATCGACTAGGTATTCGGATTCATCTTCTCCAATAGTTTAAGAGCTGTCACCAGGGTTGCCAACTTGGCTCACACCGTGTCATTCTTGGCCCTATTTTAAATCGAATGGCACTTGATTTTTCAATTTAGCACAAAGTGCCAAAATGGCACTTTTGAATAGTAGTAATATTTCAACACATTTTTGTGAAATCCTTGGTGTCTACTTCCTTTTCTCAATTAAAATTGCCTAGTTTCTAAAGGTTATTCAACTGGTTTATCTTATTTTGGCATTAGACTTATGTCTTAGAAATGTTTTTCTTATTTTATTGCTAAGTGTGAAGGGTTAAAAATGATGGCACCTTATTTGGCACTTTTTTATCCTCAATATGGCACCTCATAGCGAAAGATAGTTGGCAGCCCTGGCTGTCACCATTCGGAAATGTGGAAATTGGTTCGCTCTATAATCTGCGTAGGTTCTGGACATCGGTTACTGGGATCTTACAGGAGTTTGCCCTGGTCTCCAAACTTTCTGTAATTCTAATAGAATTTGCAGGTATTTTCCTTTTTTTGCTTATTTTCTTCAAATTATTTTCGATAGAGCCTATGATTTTAGTAGCATCATCGAGAATTCGTTTTGAAACAGAAATAAAAAAGAAGAAACCGATGAGAATAAGAAAGCCATTACACAACTCTTCTTGTTTCAGCAATTCCAAGTAACCCCATTTCGAAATAGTATGAGTAAATGTGAGTACTTTCTAAAAACACCTTGAGTAGTATCAATTATTAATTTTAATAAGTGCAGGCATAGTTTGGATAAGTCCCAAGATGTTTATGGAA